CCCCCCCTGCAGCCTCTGCCCCCTGTGGCTTCTGCCTCCCTGCAGCTTCTGTCCCCCCAGGCCCTGTTTCCCCCGCCCCATGCTGCTTGCTATCAGACACAGCTCCATCTCCATTCCCCCTAGGCACGGAGCAAAAGGAAGATCCAGCCTCTGCCTAGCCATGAACCAGAGTCCTGGAGTGGTGGGGATGGGGGAGAGGGTTGGCAGGCTGCTGCTGGGGCTCTGACTCTGGCCCCAACCCAGGAGCCACAGCAGCCATCTGACCCTCCCTTCCACCTTATACTCAAATCCAAGATGAGGAGATTTTTGCCCCCATATTGAATGGAGGGAAAAACCTTGTCTTGGATTTGAGTAAATGCAGTATTAAGTATGAATACAGAAATTATACAAAATTAAAACAGGACAATTTTGCCCTGTTACTCTAATTAGAAGCAATTTTTGAGTCAGCCTCTGTATCCAGCACTTACCAGTTCCCTCCACTAGTTCTTCCAGATCACTAGCCCTTACAGCTGGAGTTAGGACTTTCCCCCCTAAGGCATGGGGATTTCCTAGACATTCTTTCTCCTCAAAAGCCATTCTTAAATACTATCTCCCTGTCTTTATTTCTCTATTCAATTATCTGGGAGCATATTCATTATGCAGATGTTTACTTTCCATGGATAACCATCTGTCTGAAAAGTTAGATTTCTTCCTATTCAAAATTATATTTCAGGAAGACAGCACAATTATTATAAACCCTTAATCAGATTTCCCTTAGCTGTCTTTATTCAAGAGGGTAAGAGGAACCCTCTCAGTATAAGATTTCCTTTTGGAAAGCACTTTAGTCTTTGTCTGAGGAAACTGAGGCGTATCCCTCTGACATCTATTGAAGCTATTGTTTGATGTGAATACTTATTTCAGAGACTGGCTTCTTCCCTGCAAGCCAGGGTCTCTCTGAGGTGCAAATAGCTCCTGTTTGGTGAGGAATATTTCATAGGCGTTAAGGCTGGAAGGGACCTTGTAAGATCATCAGGTCCAGCCAATTGATAAACCAAGTGTCAGAAATCAACTCACTGCCTGTCTTAAGTCAAAATATTCAAATACTAAAATGCATTCATTAAAACATGGTTCATACAAACAAAAATGTTAATACTGGACACAGCTTAACATCAGCCATAAATGGAGAAGCAACACAACAGGAATAAATCCAATTCAGGGAAATATCTGTGTGTGGTAAATAATGCCCCCTAAAATTATTGACTGCATATAGGGGTACCCATGACACATTTTTAAAGCACTTCTTGTAATTGGTCCCATCCTAATTAGATTTGTAGTCACATGCATACACAGTCATCTCCACAAAAACAAAAAAGATCAACCGTACTTTCCTCCAAGTGTGACCGTAAACATTTAGCATGTTAGAGTAACATTTTGTCTTGTGCACTAAACATAATGTTGTGCTTGTCAGGCACCTATTATTGTCACACTCTGGGTATTACCCTCTGCTAAAATGGTGTTGAAAATACTAATGGCTTTCCCTTTTTTAGAGTCACCAGAAAGAAAACACATTCACAGCTCCACTTCATTAAGCTTTCTGAGAATTACACTGTCACTCTAAACTCTGGATAATACAGTGCTCCGTTTCACTCTTCATTGCTACTGAGCTTTTGCAGAAAATATGGAAATAACTAATACTCTTGTTCCTATCTAAGGCTTTCCTAATTACCTCCCTCATTACAATACTATTCTTCACAATATTATAAGGCATTGATTCTCTACAGTTATATGTAACCTCTGGTGACAAGAAGATCGTGACAGACAAAAGTCACGTCTATCTTTTAAAAATGTTATGTGGATATAGTCCTATTGAAAGTGCCAAACTGACAGCTGTGGAAACCAAAGACCACTGCTCATCTTCATAACAGATAAGGACAGTAGCATAACTAGGGAGTGGTGACCAATTAGAGTGCCAACTTTGGCGGGTGTGGGGACATGGGGAAAGAATGGGTGGCTCCAGCAGAGGGAATGGGATTAGAGGAGATGCATTGCAACACATCCCATTCCTACCATGTTGGGATGGAGGAGGCAGCTCTGCATCCTCTACCAGCTTTACACTAATGACAACTCCCTTCCAAAAGGTAAATTTTCCCCTGGACAGGTATCGTCAGAATCTGGACCTCCTGTGCTGCCAAAGAAGCATAAAGCAGCTAAAGGTGATCAGAGAATCTTGCCATTCACACAGATAAAAGAAATATGAACTTCCTTCCTATTGAACTCTATCAATATATAACAAATCCAACCAAAGGGCTATTTTCCTGGACAGGGATGGTGGGTGCATGCCCAGCACCACTAAGCTCTTTGGGACAGGTACTCTCCACAAATTCAAAATGGAAGAAGTGCCAGCACCATGGTTGGCTTCAGTTTCAGTTTCTAGCCTGTCTCTTTTCCTAGTTCTCTTTGTGCTGTAGCATTTGTGCTTCAATATTTAATAGGAATGTTTCACTAACTTAGAAAATAGACTTCTATTGAAAATACCAGACTATATTCCTTTCCCCCCTAAAATTTAATGAAAATATATCTTTTAGTGTTGGATGTTATTTAAAAAAATTAAACTACAAACTGAGAGGAAAAATCGTGTCTCATCAACTCATCCAAGTAATCTCCTGAGTGAAAGAAAGCTGCCCTTCATTTCTACTGCTGCGTTTTCATTGCCTGATGCCTATGTATGCATGTTGACTCAGAAAATGAAGATGACTATGGAACAAAACTTAAAAGGCAGACTTACCTCCAAAAGTGATAGAAAAGCAGTGGGACATTCAGCCCCAAGGTGAGCCATTCCTGAGCACACAAAAACATTATACAGAAAAGGCTGTGGATGGAATATTCAGGTAGCACCAGCTGCAGAAACAGAAAGAACAACTTGTCAGAAAAAACACTTCAGTGATTTTAATTGTTTAAAACAGTTTTTCAGTAAGCAAACTATATCTGTAAGTCTGCTGTGTGTATAAGACTCCCTTGGGTCCAACTTGGTTGACAGAGAAAACAGTCAAGAGTAACGAGTACCGGGTGGAGTGCCAGGCTCTCCTGAGTTTTAATCCTGGCTCTATACCAGTGACTTACTGAGAAGCCATGGGAACATCATTTATCCTATTAGTGCACTAGTTTCTTTTGTCTGAAATGGAATTATAATACTTACCTACCTCACAGGGCATTATGATAGGAGTTATTCAAGTCCCAAGTATGATTACAGAGCTGTTTAAAAAGGGAAAATAGAGATCTGGTATAATATGTGGAACAGCATCCTTGAAAAGCCAGAAGGTTGTTTCCCACAATTTTAAGTTGTTACATACGCCCCAAAAGGAAGGGAGCTTCAGGCAATTTGAGCCAAAATTTGATCGAAAGGGATCCTTGAAAATCCTCCTCTTTGGCAAGGCACAGCTCCCAGCACATCATGGACCTAAAAAGTGGGTCATTCTCCTTAAGAAAAGAACAGGAGAAGGCGGAAAAAGGAAAGGAAATGAAGTGACATCATTGAGAGTACCTTTATTTACCAAAGCTCTTTTTTTTTTTTTTTTTTACAGTTTTTGTACTTGCCTTGTGTACATGAGCACTCTCATCATCAATGATGGTACTGAATTAATGACAACAGCAACAGAAGATTTAAGTGAAAACAGGCTAGCGTAGACAACACTTACCTTTGCTGACTTCTCCATTTCTCAGCTGTAATCTAACTATTATTTGTTTCTGGTGGTCTTTCTGTAATTCTGTATTTGTAATCCCCACTTAAGCCATGACAGCTCATTTGTCAACATCAGTCATTTCTCAAAATCTAGCCAAATCTACAGGCAAGTGAGCTTTGCCCTCTGTTGTGTCTCTGAGCCCCCTCAGCTAAGGTCAGGCTCCACCACAAGAAGCACTTGGAGTTCTTCTATTATAAATTCACTAGTGCCTGTCAAACAGCCAATCTTCAAATTGCTTTTTCTGAAGATAATAGAGAACTTGTTACATTTCTTACTAAATAGTTATATTGCAGGATTATCATGAATCCCATTTTCAGTTCCTTTATAAATCTTTCCATCTCGCACAGAACTTATTTATTTGTAACTTTTATTTGCCATTGCTACTTCTTTTCCAGTAATTAACACATTTAGAGGCATCTTACTCTGAACCTGTATTTTCAGTTTTAGCTCCTTCAGAGCAATGTATCTTATGTGGATGACACATCATGGCACAATTATATGGTTTGGATTCCAGATTCAGGTTATTTATCACTGCTGGGGGTTTTTTTCTTCTTTTTCTGAATGTGATTTATAGTATAGCTGCAACCTTTCCAGCCAGAATGATTCATCACCGTCACAAACTGCAGATAAAAAGTTCTTAATCCATCTAGCTAAACACCCCAGAATTTAAAGTGTGTTACATTAGTAATCCAGTACAATAAACCTGATCTCTATAGCCTTTTGTGGTGGTTATATATGAATGGGATCCTGGTAAAATATATGCAGCTGAGGTCAGTTGACCTCATTGACATCACTGGGGACATACAGGCGTAAGTGGAAACTAAGTGGCTTTTTACTTAGCAGGAGATCGTGATTGCCAGGGCTGGTAACAGTGCAAGCTTTTGCCATGACTCAGATAATGTGAAGAATGTGGGAGTTACCTGTATTACTTTTATGAACATTTTGTGTACCTCTACATATTCAGTTGCTGTTATACTGTTTGCTACTTCAGTTGAAAGAACTCACTCCTACTCTAAAGAAAAACAGGTAATGGATTTAGATAAGCATCACTGATATCTTTTGAGATAAGTTCAAACATAAGGAGTTGAGGAGAAAACTGGCACAGTAAAAGCAATTGGTTGGAACAGCTGGTGCTGGGTCAGCCTGCATGGTAGCCAGGAGATGTAGCAGTCCATGAATCCTGCCTGCTTATATTTATCCAGGGAAAGAATCTGAAAGAATGTCTGAAAAAAAGGTTACAACTTATAGAACTAGAGCCAAAGCTGAAGAACAATTTCTACAGAAGAGAGGGGAGGAAAATGTATTACCATATTACTTCAAATTTAAGAGACACAATTTAAAACCAAATATTTCTTCTAAAAATGGCCTGCATCTAAAATTCAAGTAAAACAAGTAAAAGAGTCAAAGCAACTCAATATTCAGGTAGCAAAAGAAAAAAAGGGAATAAATAATAAGATAAATATAATAATATTAAATACAATATTAGACTAATATAATAATGATAATAACATATATTTGATGCTTGAATTACAAACACCAGCAAAGTTTGTGAATGCCAGAAGGTGTATAAATAGGGGTGACTGCTGGGTCTCAAATCAACCATGATATACAGTCAGCCATTTTAAAACAAATAGGAATCATAGGTCCTTGACAGTGATGTAGAGCTTCTTTTAAACTAAAAGTTGTGGAATTTGCAGAAACAAATGAAGATAAAGTAGATGGAAGGAAGAGTCATATTAGTGAAACTCATGTCAGGAAACTATTTGCTTTCAGAATGCAAAAAAACAAATGAAGGATTCAGCAAACCCAAATATGAATGATTCCCAGAAATCCAGAAAAGTGCCAGAGATTTTCTAATTAAACAATGTAGTGCAGGGTGGCACCTTAGATACTGATTGACTGAGAGGCATTAAGTTTTGTACTGACTGACAAAGCAGGCTGTTGCCCAGAAAAGCTCATGCCTCTCTGAACTAGTTAGTCTCTAAGGTGCCACTCTAGCCTGCCTTCCTCATGACTTGACCAGTGAGGGTCAACCTTTTTGGTAGGTGTGTCATAAATTAGCCCTGCCTTTACCTGGAGTGTTACTCCAATCCCCTTCCCCTGCCCGATCTGCTGGTTTGCTTTCTGCTCCCTGTTCTGTGCTCCCAGTCCAAACTGCTGCGCTGCTTTCTTCTCCCTGCCCTTTCTGCTTTTGTGCTGCTCCTCCCCGCTCCAATCTGCTGTGTGCCACACACACAGACTGCCTCTGTCACTAGTGGCATGTGTGCCACAGGTTGACCACCCCTGCTAACATGGTTAACTACTTTCTAACTAAACAATAACATTCTGGCCTTCCTGTCCATTAAGAAGTGATTTGTGCCAAAACCTGTGAAGTGGCACCCATAGCTGGCATGCCACATTCACAGTGTAAAGCAAGTTTGGGTTGGATGGAGAAGCGTATGAAGCAGCAAAGCTTTTTGTTATGCTGGTGAATCTTTGGGTGTCAGAAGCTTCCTGAAGAATGTGGAAAAAAAGCTTTTATAGGTTCAGCATTTCCTGATGTTCCATCTTACCAAACAGCACCAGCTTAGACAAATCGGAAATACTGAGCAGACCCCCACATTTTTTGACATTCTGAGCAACTTGTTGGGACCCAGATGCTTTCAGGCCTGGGTCGGACCTCTGTGCTTAGGTTAAGCTGCATGCTTAGCTTGAATTGTAGTTGAGACTTGCACTGGGATAAAAGGAGAACATGGGCTGGCAGTGTCGGGATGCAATCAGGAAGGCCAACCATACCTTGTCATGCATCCATAGATGCATCTCTAACAGATCCAAGGAGGTGATCCTCCCCCTCTCTGCGGCACTGGTCAGGCCGCAGCTGGAGTACTGCATCCAGTTCTGGGCGCCGCACTTCAAGAGGGATGTGGACAACATGGAGAGGGTCCAGAGAAGGGCCACTCGCATGATCAGGGGTCAGCAGGGCAGGCCCTACGAGAAGAGGCTACGGGACCTGAACCTGTTCAACCTCCACAACAGAAGACTGAGGGGGGATCTAGTGGCCTGTTACAAACTAGTCAGGGGGGACGAGCAGGCAATGGGAGAGTCTCTGTTCTGCCCAGGCCCCTACTTTGCCCAGCCCCCCAGGGAGCCACGTGACCAGAGCCATGTGAACAGGCTGCCCAAACAGGTGTGCTGTCTGCCGGCACGTGAGTTAGCGCAGAGTTCGCGCAAGAGGGGGCGCAGGAGGGCCCAAGACCCTGCCTGCGAACCCACCAGGGTAGTCAGTCCCAGTCGTAGCCAGCCTACCAGAGGCATGACATGGATGGGCACGCGCCG